AATGTTCGTATCAACACGGTCAGAGAAAGCTTACAGGTATGAGAGTGGTGGTATGTCACTGAAAGTGGCGGGAAAGCATGGACATCTCATTGCACCCATGTATAGAGTTAATAGTTAATATGACTATTGTCACAAGGCGGAGTCAAGTGTGGGTTCCTTTCCCCACTGCTACTTTTTAGCATTAATTGTGACTTATATATTTATATACAACCAACAAGCAATAACTGGCGGCCATGATGTAGTCAGTGTGAACATACAACAGACGCAATCATATACTAGCAGTTAACGGTTTATAAAATATAATTGGAACAGATTAAAGGCCATTTTTTAATTAAATAACTGACGCCGTTTCATTAAATATTGCCAAATTTCCATTTCGAGCACGTGGTCAAAGTGTACTTATATAGGTATCCATGTCCAGGTGCACGTACTCGATATTCAAATTTCCCTGACAAGACGATCTTTTCTATGGGCCATTCCATTCAAACAAGGCCATCCCATTTAAACAATTAAATTACACAAGTATAAGATGTATCCAGGCATCTGTACAGCATTTCTGGGCACCTCGTGACAACCATGTCCATGATCGATGTACTACCGAATTAAACCGATTAAATGTCAAACTCTATCAATGTAATCAAAGATGATTATGAGTGTGTCAGTTGAAATATTTTTGTACCTATAATGAGTGTGGAAACACTTGGACGGCTGACACCATGCATAATATCTGGGAAAGCTATATTAATGTAGAATGACCTAAAACTTGGTACACTTTAGACATTTAGCACAGTTAGCTAACTCGTGTGTCAGCTACTTAAAGTCCCACTAGTTAACAGTATAGTGGTATTCAGGCCAAGAGTTGGGGTTTGGCACTGTTTGGATTTATCCATTGCAGTGAATTCATAGATAACTTGTAATTGCAACATAAAAACAAACTTGACGTTGGGTTAGACGATGTGTGACATTTCAACCTGCGATAGAACTTTTATCAGTAAAATAAACATTTTTCGACTATTTTTAGTTCCCTATGGGGAAGAGGTTAGATCGTTATTTTTCAATTATTTACCCAATTTCATGAAATGTTGCAATAAAACATTGCTTCCTTATATGGCAAGTGTTTTAATCATATACGCTTTTCGTAATTATGCAAAGTGGGGACAAACTTATAAATGTTTTACCACAAAACTGTATACAGTAAAAATGTTTTAAGTTAGAAATAAATCTAATCTACATTTAAAAATAATGTTGCCCCTCTTTGATAAATTAAATATAAATAATACATATAAATCTAACATAAAAGATTGTCAACTACACTTTCTACGATTCATCTTAGGTGTGAGAGAAAAGCACGCCTATAATAGGAATATATAGAGAAAATTGGCTCATTTTTCCAATTGAAGTATTTATCAAACGAACATGTGAAGGAAGCAGCGTTATTAAATAGACAACTAACTAGTAAATGGCAATGCGTAATAAGTTCGCAACTAAAAAAGATTTAATGAAACACCATAAATCGATATAGATATTATATACAATGGCTCAAATTTGATCCGGTAAACGACATTCTGAAGACAGTTCATACTATGATATATCATTTGGTGTCTTTAAAAGGGGGTCGTCGTTGTTGTACTTTAAACCAAGACTGTAACGACGAACAGAAAAAGTGGAAAGATTATTCATCCTTCATTGAAACTAAGAATTAGATGGAGATATTACCAAAAATAACAATAAAAATAACAAACTGAGAACATACAGAGAATTCAAGAAAATCTACGAAAATCAATCACTATCCCCTTAATTTAAACAGGGGCACACTTAGCCGAAACTACCAAAAGAAAAAAAAAGAATATACAATCTTTGCTCAAAGAATGAAGTAGAAAACTAATACCATGTTATCACAACATGCCGTTTTTTTACAGCAATAAATAATATTTATATATGATGAAAACAAATAAATTATTTCACAAATATGTATGATAATAATGGGCAATGAAAACGCTGCAATGAATATTGCATTCGTCATCAACAGATTTCAATAACGCTTAAATTTGATGCATAGGTGAACTAGAATATTAAACCACAGACTGTAAGGAAGAGATATATACACCGGAAAACTATTTCTTTTGCTTTAATAATAGTTTATGTTAGTATCATAAATTTCAGTGCCGTGGAGCTACATGTTGTATATTAATCACCAGGCTTAAGGCTAGTCTTAAAATGATCTAATTTTAAATTCTACTAACTTCATATTATAACTTCAATATCTCATCACATGGGAGTTCTTTTTAAGTTTGTTTTTAGTCTCTATTTTTAGTGTCCTACTACACTGCACGAACTAAAACTATAATCCACAGTCAACGTATAAAAACGAATGCAGATACAACATTTGTACGGCCGTTGAAGACGAGTACCTTCTGGGGAAATACCTCTCGCAATGCATTTTGGGCAATGTCACTATACGTGGCAGTCGCCATTTTGAATTTCCGGTTCATGCATCCTAGACCCGGCGAAAGCTCTGACGAGTTTTGTTTTGGATTTTAACACATTTAAACGTCATTAAGTTTGGTAAGTGTTGTGTGTACACAATTACTCTGATTCCCCGATAATTGTATGACAAATCATGTAAATTATCAAAGATATAATGAATTATTTGTCATTTTTCAGTAATAATTTGCTGGATCTTCATTCGTGTCTTGATTTCATTGTGTCATTCTTGGTTGTAAACATTGCCGTAGACCGAGAGATACACGTCAGCGTTAGATAGGTTGACACGCTGGCTTCGAGAACGTCACGGTGTTGAAGTGATATATAATGCCATTGATTTGCTGGCAGTGTCAGTGGAAACTGCACCATTGAAACAGTCAATCGTCTACAAAGATTGCCCCAGCTGTGGAATTACGTGAATTGCTGTGTCATTTTTACCTTGCATACCGTCTTGAGAAGGATTGATATAAATATATCGCCAATTGAATCTCGCTCGACCCGTCCACGGAGTGCAAGAGGTGGCGTTATAGTGGACCACCAGCGTTCGATTTGTACACCTCGATGGGTAACTTTCCAGTCGGGTTATCAAAAATTTAAACTTGCATGCTCGGCAGTCTGGTAACATATTGTTTATGATCTCCTTCATTTTATTTTGAAAATGCTATTTTATTACAGAAATATTATTGGGTGAAGTTCATGTGAATCGTCTTTCTCCTTCAAGCACAATCAATTGAATCGTGAAATTTGAAGTACAAAAATGTACCTATTTTATAAATCAACAATATGTGAGGATGTTTTTAAAAGAATTTAACCTCTCAGTAAAAAGACGCATTAGAATAAAATGTGTGTGGCCTAGAAAAGCAAAAAAATCACATGACTGATTATGATAACTTTCTGGCATGGCTGGTAAAGATTTAAGGCACAGATCTAGAAGCAGTACCTACACACGAATTGGTGACGTCATAAAATACATGACCTTCAATCGGGGTCGTTTCCTCGGTATATACGAATTGGTATATACAAATTACAATAAAGATACTTAAGACATTACACATAAGGTAAAACAAATCACGACAGAACGCTCATACAGTCAGTCGGGTGACGCCGAGGGTCACGAACTGTGTTGCAAAATGGCCGTGTGGTTGAAACTGGGTCATGGCGTTACGGGTGAGGAAGACATCATTAAACACTCAAAATCACAATAAAACGGGGAACTGGTTGCATATTACGGCGTAGCCAACATGGGAAATAAAAAAACGCCCAATACAAACGACATGGGTTCGAATCACACTAGATACACACTCACCAGAACCGAAGCAATCAGAAACCAGCAATCGTTTTGGCTTTTCCGTTCAACTCATCGGAACACTGGAGTAGTTAGAAAAATGAACACCACTTAACGACCAACGTCGTGGCGTGGTACACAAGCGTGCCATCAAAATAAAACAAAATTAGCTTGAAAAGACAGTGGGTTCGAGTCCCGCTCAGAGCTACCGTAAAAACGTAAATCAAATAAACTGAAATCTCTCAAACCGTAAACAAGTAAACAAAGAACGTCGCAAAAAAATAATAAACCTCACAAAACTCCACCATACAAAACTGAATGAATAAATAATAAAATAACTAACGTCTTAAACTGGACGACGCGCAATTTGTTCAACAGTTTCCAGATTGTGACAAGAGATAAACAAGACCCAAGTCAAGGTAAGTTTTGTTAAAGTGTCGATGGCGTTCCCTATATTACGAAAACAATCAGGCAACAGACG